ATTGAACCTGGAGTCTGTCCTGAGCTATGTCCCTAACTCTTTAAATTTTAAATCTGAGGACAGGTTCTTACTAAATTGCCAGGCTGGGCTCAATCTTGCAGTCCTCCTGCCTAAGCCTCCCACATTACCAGGAATTATGGGAATGCGCCACTGCACTGCCTTCACTGCCTCACCTGGAAACCAGGCAGGTAGGTGGTGGCCCTGTGTGGGGAGGGTAAGGCTTTGCCACAGCTGTTGCCTGGGGATTCTGTGAGCGTTTGGGCGACTGGCCTGTTCTTTTTTGACTTTGAGAGAAGGTCTCGCTCTGCAACTCAGGCTGGCCTCAGTTGCAATGATCCTCCTCCCACAGCCTTCCCAGTGCTAGGATCTGTGTGCCACCCCACACCCGCACACTACAGATCTCTGCCCCTGTCTAGGCATGGGGTCTTGGCCCTCTTGGGAGAGGCACCTCTTCTGGCTTCCTGGCCACCAGGAGCAGCTGGAGGTCAGGGAGGCTGTTTCCTAGTTTCAGTCCCTCTGCCAAAACCCAAAGGCATTTAGGTGTCAACCAGATTTATCTTCTAATGGCAAACAGCATTAAAAGAATGGCGTGGTGGTACACGCCTGTAATCCCAGCGCTTGGGAGGCTGCAAACAGGAGGATCACTACTACTAGTCCTATCTGTGTGGTGAGACCCTACACATACACACAAAATCCTTAAAAGAACAGGTCAGATGGCCGTGTGGTGGGGCACACCTGTAATCCCAGCACTGGAGAGGCAGAGGCAAGAGGATCATTACAAGCTCAAGACCAGCCTAGACCACAAAGTGAGCAGGAGGCCAGCCTGAGCTAGAGTTCAAGGCCAGGGCCAGTGAGGTATCTCAGTGGACTAAGTGCCTGCTTAGGCAAGCGATGGGACCAGAGTTGATCCCTGGCACCCGCTGCACCCCAGGTGCGCTGAGCCAGCAACCAAGACTGGGTGTGGTGTCCCTATAACCCTGGTGTTGGGGAGACTGAAAACAGGATCACTACGACTTTAAACTGCAGACTCCATAGTAAGACCCTGTACCAAATACATAAACAAACAAACAAACAAAAAACCCCAAAATAATAAAGAGGCTGTGGCAGGAGGACCCTCACTAGTTTGAGGCCAGCCGGGGCTACATAGACCTTCTCTGGAAAAAATGAAAGAGCTGGGCATGTAGCTCAGTGTAAAGGCCTTGGGTTAAATCTCCAGTACAGGAAAGAAAACTGGTGAATTTAAAAATGCCAACAACCTCTAAAAGCACTGCAGACCAAATTAAGTCACTGGGTCCCGCGGTGGAAGGGCCTCGAGCACAAATGGCTTCCCGCTGTCAGGCCCAGGCGGCCCCACCCCTCCAGTCACCTGGCCCGGAGACACGGCCCGCGCAGGGGCAGTCACGATGGGGTCACTGGTCCTTTGCCTGTCCGGAGCTGCAGGTCTTACACCCCTTCCCTGGTTCCTGTACCGGGCGACAAGGCCCTGCGAGCCGCGGGACCACCGGGGGACGCGCCCGCGAAAGGTGTCGGCAGCTCTCTGCGTGCCCTGCCTCGCCGGCTCTCGCTGGGCCGAGACCGGGGCGCTGGGACCGGGCGATCGCCCCAGCGACAGCTTCAGTGGCCGGGACCCGGGCCTAGGCGGCGGCGGCGGCGGCGGCGTTCCCTCTCGCCCAGCCCAGTCCCGCCCCGTCCCGCCCACCCGGTCCTTCCGCATCACGCGCCACGGGCCACCAGCGCCTCCGGCGGCCGCAGCCGAGCGACAGTCGCGACACCCACCTTTCCTCGTCTCTTCCTTCAGCAAGGAGCTGGGCCTCCGGCCTCCTTTTATCTGCTCTCCCCACGCAGCCAGAGGTGGATCCGCCCCTAGCTGGAACCACCCACAGACCCTTCCCTGAGAACCGCAGGGACCGAAGCCGCTGGAGACCTTCCGGTTTCATCGGCCTCAGTTCCTATGTATATATACAAGATAATTGAGATAGTTATAGTGGTTTCTATTCGTTCATTGCAAAGAAAGGCTTGTGTTTATATTGCTTGCTCATTCTTTCATGCCTGTATCTTGTAATCTATTTTGAAGATAGCAATACAAAATGTGTTAACCATTGTTACTCTCCCACTATCTTGTTTTGAAATTTTTTTCTTTTTTCTTTTTTGGATTTTCTTTTTCTTTTTTGCTCAGGGTCTCACTACATAGCCCACATTAGTAGTGATCCTCCTGGTTTCTGCCTCCCAAGTGCTGGGATTACAGGCGCGCGCGACCGCGCCCGGACTCCATCGCCGGCTCAGCACACCCAAAGGTGGGGCCGGCGCGGCAGGCGGAGCCAGGTAGTGAACCCTGGCCCCTGCGCTTACTTAAGCAAGTGCTTAGTCCGCTGAGCTATACTGTCGGCCCTTCTTTTTTCTTTTTTGATACAAGGTCTCGCTACCCAGTTAAGGCTGGCCCTGTGCTGACTTTTGTAGCCCTCAGGCTAGTCTTGAACTCAAAGCAATCCTCCTGTCTCAACCTCCCAGAGTGCTGGGATTACAGGTATGCACCACCATGTTCCACCCCCTGGCCAGCCCAGCGTGCAGTATGGGGGATTGAACTCAGGAGCTTGAGCTTGCCAGGCAGGCATTTATGCCGCAGCACTAACTCCCCGGTCCCTGAAATTTTATAATTGTTTTCCTTTCAAAAAAGAAGCGGGGGGGGGGGGACGGGGGAGATGGCTCAGTGGAATAAGCTCGTCCCTGGCAAGCTCAAGGGCCTGAGTTCAATCCCAGGTTCCGGGGAAAAAAAAAAAAAGAAGCCGGATGTGGTCAAGGCCAGGCTGAACTGCATAAGGAGACCCTGTCTCAAAAAGACAAGAATAAAGAAATAAAATAAAAATAAAACAATTGTAAACATCATGTTCAGGCAACCCACAAGGGTTGTCCAGGCTAAGCGCTGTACAAGGGGGCTGGCCCTGTCACATGCAGGGTGGCATCTTACCTCCTGAAGGCTGTTTTTTCCAGCGGGTGGGTGGTGGCCCCTGCCTACCTAGACTGGACCCTGGTCTAGCCCATGGTTGAGAATGTGACACTTGAGCATTTATTGAGCACTTACTGTATGTAATGGGCCATTCCAACTGCTTCAGCTCCACCCACAGTAAAATGCTTGGCAGAGAGTGACCTCACAAAGCAGCGCCCTGGTGGCACCGCCCACCCAGTGGGGCATGTACCAAGGGCTGTGGGGAGGACAAGGTGTCTGCAGCTCATGGAGGGGCCTCATGATGACTAGGTTCTGGGATGATCTGGCTTCTGCATGTCAGCCTTTCTCTGACAGAAGCCACACCTTGTAGCCATAGGCCCACCCCCTGCCTGTATCACACACAGCAGGACTGGCAACATCTTTATTTGACGGCATGCAGTAAGGTTCAGTCCTTCCAGCAGGAGGGAGGCAGAAGTGTGGTAGGTGGCTGGGGAAGCCTGGGAATGGTGCTTCTGGGGCAGAGATCTGGCCAGAGCACAGAGGTGGACAGGTGGCCCGGAAGATGCTCCACTCTCTGCACCTTGGATTCTGACATCCCAGCCCACAGGGTCAGGGCCTGGTCCTGAGCCCAGATTCCCTGGAATGCCCTGTGCTGGGCTCCCCTTACCCTCCCTGAGAGCACTGTCCCCACCTGGTGTCCACCTGGCTTGGGGCAGTCCACACCCCTCTGGACCCCACTAACTCCCCACCTGCCCTGTCCATCGCAGACCAGGCCTGAGGCACTAGACTACAGCCACCTCTTCAGAGCAGGCAGGAGGAGTGGGGGGACACTTGGGAGTGGCAGAACGGGGTGGGGGAACCATCTGAGAACCCTCCTCCCTCCCACATCTGTCCTGGCTGCAGGCCCACCTCCCAACATCTGCACTGTTAAAGGCAGTCACACATGTCTCACCTGACCCGGCTGTAAGGGCCCCCACAGAACACAGGTGTGTGTGTAGGTTGAGGCACAGATCTGGGCTGGTGTCCAAGCTTGGAGGTCCCCTCTCAGAGCCTGAGGGGACCCCTGCACTCCTCTAACCTCGGATGCTCCATCTCTAGAAGCCCCAGACCTGCCCTGTAACCCCTCAGTTAGCATCAGTGGAGTGTTGCCCTGCTGCATGGCCACCGAAGAAGGCGCAGCTAGGGGTTGATAGGCTCTGGCCCTAGTATGAATTGCTGAATTAGTATGGTGGTCATCCAATATGGCTGAAGCCCTTAAAGCAACAGCTGATTTTCCCAGACACCACCTCCCCCCTTCTTCTCCAACTCAGCCCAAGGTGCAGTTTCCTTTTACCTTTCCCGCCACCTCAGGGAAGGCCCCAGTCAGCTCCTCACTTATGTCTAAACGTCCTCCTCAAGCCCCACCCCTGGCAAAAGACCATAAGAGCCTCAGCCTCCCTTTGTTCCAATCCAGAGAATTCCTTATTGTCCCAAATACTCTCCGTGTCCTCTAAGATAATGAAGTCCCTTTTCCTTTATGATAAAGCCCCTTTCTCTTTTTCCTTCTGCCTGTTTCTCTGCTGTGACACCGTCAAAACCTATCAGGGGCACGGTCTGGGCACACCTGGCTGGCATGCCCCTTTCCTGACCCTGGCCCAGCCCTTCTTGGAGAGCATTTTACCCGCTAGGGTTCCGAGGTTGGGGGCTTAGGGGACGTCAGGGCAGCGCGGGCCCAATGGTGATGCTGCTGTTGGTGACCCTCGGGCCGTACCAGCCGGCCCAGTAGTGAGTGTCCACGCCGCCGTGCTGGAACCAGATGTAGCGCACACCAGGTGGGTAGTTGGAGAACGTGTGGGAGACCTGGGGGCAGGGAGAAGTCAAGGGGGCTGTCTGTGAGGGGTGCTCCCTGAGAGCCTGCCTTCTTAGGGCCCCACCTCCTGCCCTCTGTGCCTCAGTTTCCACATCTCTCCTAAGGAGCAAAATCCTCCCTGGAGCACTCCACATTGTTACTATGGGGCTTAAAGGAACTGAATCTGCCAAACGATGTCCGGTATAGCCATCACAGGGTACATGCAGGGGCCAGGGAGATGGCTCAGTGGAATGAGTGCCTCCCTGGCAAGTGCAAGGGCCTGAGTTCAACCCCTGGTTCTGCCAAAATAATAATAATAATAATAA